TACTGAAACATTTCAAAAGATTCATTGTATTCTTAAAGATGGAATGTACAATGCGAATAGTTGGCGCAAGTTACGAAGGTTGCGTTAGACAATCATCTTATGGACTGAGAAACGATTCATGGTAGAGATAGGTTTTCATATAACAAGCGAAGGTTTCAAAAATGGGCTCTATTTATCACTTCTGAACTAGCTAAGTAAGATAGGTAACAAGGTAAATAGAGTGCATACCAGCCTAAACATCGCTGGTTATACAGGGCACTGTCTTAGTTCTGTTCGTGTTTGTGAAATTTAATTATAACCTGCAAGATAAAATTAGCTCACTGGCACTAACATATGCAGATGATGCAAAGCTCTAGGTGTTTATTAGAAACAAAGAGGTATATTTTGAGTTTCAACATGGCCTTACAACAATGGAGAGATGAGCAGTGATTTACAGCTTGAAACGTCACGTCAAGAACATCCCACTCAAAATTAACAACTCACATCCTTAACGGGAATCCACTCCTAAATGTATGTTCAAAGAAGGGTTTCGATCTAATAACGCAACACAACTTCTGACAACAGGGGATTTAGCCAAGACCAAAGCAGCCCTTCACTTTATGCGAGGAAAACTGGACTCAATGATCCTACAGTTGTTCTTCATTCTCTTTAAAACATACATACGGCCACAGCTTGAAGTTCACAATGTCGTCACTCCCTCTCTCTTAAAAGTGACATTAAGCTCCTGAATCGAGTACAGAGAAGAGCAACTAAATGGACAATGGGGTTAAAAAATTAACCACACGAAGATGGAATCCAGGATTCGGCATCATTCCTACCGAGTTATTTGAGAATCAGAGGTGATCTGATAATGGCATACAATAATTTAAGTACTCTAAATCATCCCAAGACGAGCACCTTGTCAGAAAATCACCATACAGCCTTGAAGTAATCCTTAAAAATTGGAAATCAATGAGCGGATATCCAGGACAATGCCTACTTCTCAATAAAAGTTATTCCAACTTGGAATTTCATCTCAACTGAAGTGACTATAGCCCCCTCAGTGTATGACTTCAAGAAGAAACTTGATGAACACACTCACATATGGATTGCCGTTTCCCACTTTAACCATATGGGCCTGCTGAATGCCTCGAAACTTGATAGTTGTTATCGTTATCATTTCCTTAGACCATCAGCTTTTCCCTTCTAGCTCATTATCTCTGTTTCCTCTTCTTTGCTTATGTTTCCGTTCTCTCCAACAAATTTCACTTATCAATCTATTTAGTTGATCCTTAAATCTTTTGAGCAGCATTAAAACTTTCTCATTATTGTTCCTGATGTTTGTAATGAGGCGAGTCGCGGTAGACTAAAATCACCACTACAGTCCAATCACGTTCTTGTCACCGAATATAATAAATCCGCGAACGAAGGACAGAGAAGAACAGTAAATCCATACAAGGGAATATATTTGCTGATGATTTTGTGGTATTGAAGTGTTAGGATATAAAAATATCCACAGAACTATTCTGCTAAGTCTTATTCTATCATTAAACGTAAAATCGTATGTTTTCACTTTTTCAGATGTTTCGCATACTTCACATCTCGTTTCCTATAGGTCAATATTTACGGTCGTCCTGACTGCATATATATGAATTGTATGTAAAGTTCTAAGCTGTATTCTTACCTACAAACACTTTTCACCATGTGGTTTTGAGTTCTAATATTTTGTGGATATGGGAAACAGAATTTGCGGTCGTACTGGAATATTTGAGGTTGGCCACTCGGTAGAATTTTGAGTAGCCACATAGCGGACAGCAGTATTGGGCGACGGGGATTTGACGAACAAGTTGGTGACTAACTATGGATCCAGCCAAATTAGAAAAATTGTTGGAACTAGGGCTGAAGCTCATGGAGACGCTTACTCAGGCGAACACCTCTTCTCCAGTCTCATCTATACCGACAATCCTTCAGTCAGTCGATGGTATCACCAGTGGTATTTGAGAGTTTCTTCATGATCTTGATGCCAACATTACATTGATACCTGGTTCAGGAGTTTTTAAGACCTTTTCAAAGTTGACCTTTTTGACAGAGATGATGCTTGGAAGGTGCGCTTTCTCCCTCGGAAACTTGTTCCGTCGGAGATGGACAAGTATTGCAACCCCATTCTATCGCAGAACCCACGGGACCGTTCCTTCGATGCCACTATTCAATCCGTCCGCCAAATTTTTGGCGATTATCACTCACTTTTCAATACTCACCATCGCTGCTTAAAACTGGTTATTAGTGATTCTGACGACTTCTTAACCTATGTCGGCATTGTCAAACGTGGGTGCGAACGGTTCAAGCTCAGATTTCCCAATGACGACCAATTCAAGTCCCTCGTATTCAAATGCAGTTTTCAATTATCCGAATTCCCCGACATAACAACTCGGTTGCTAAATCGCCTTCAACAAGTACCAACGAATTATCAACCGGCAGTGTGACACCACTTTGGTTCGATCTGGGGGCCAGGGCGGTTGTCCAGAATCGGAACAAATTTTCGAGATCAACAACCTTTGATCTTTCGAAAGCCAGTGCTGTCCCTGCCATTCGTCATCTCACACCGGCACTATGGAGCCTGGCATTATATGAAGTTTCGTTCTGTTGGTCGCAAAACGGTTTTTGCCAATCGACCAAATTCAATGGACGACGAAATTCACAGATGCAGCGTCGTTTTCCCAAAAAGAAAGTTGCCTCATCAAGGAGTTTAGCAGCAAATTTCTGACCCACTCAATCAATGGTCAGACAGTTTGGTTGCGATTGGTTACTGCATTGGATACCACTATTCTGTTGGAAAAGGCTTAGCGAACCTTGGGCTAGCCACCCATGAAAACAACTTCTCAGTGACTGCGGGGATCATCTTCACCTTCATGGTGAACTCAGTTGATGCATTACGTTCAGAGGTCTAACCTTGAATGGAACATGCTATATCACCAAGTCTACTCTCAACATTCTGGGGTTAGATTGACTCGAAGAACTTGGTCTCGCCGATCTTTCCATTTTCACTATTCGCAGTCATGTACAGACTCCAGCCACAATCTCAATGGACGAGGGCTCCAGTGCTAAACTATTGGTGAATCCATACGGGCGATGCCTGTAACTGCTGAAGATGTTCGGGAAGCTACCAGAGACGACCTGAGAATCTAAGAAGCGATCACATATATTCAGTTAAACAGCTCATTGGTTGTTAAAGATTTTCTGATGTTCCAACCCTAAGTCCCAAGATGCTACGCCAGTTTCACTCTGTACGCCCAGGGATAAACCGTATGGAACACATTGCTCAGATCCATGCATATTGGTCGAACGTGAATAAGCAGGTTGTCCACTTTGTCAGAGGATTTACACATTGTCAAACCTCTATGAAGAATCCTCCCAAGTTTCCACTAGTACTCTGGCCAAAGCCAGCACATCACTTTGCCTGACCCCTAGATGGTGCCACAAATCTGATACTGGTTGACTCCTTCTCCAAATGGCCGATTGCGCCCCTCCTAAAACTCGAACCATCAAACTCCTTAATCAGATCTACATTCACCATGGTCCTCTAGAAACAGTAGTAACAGACAGTGGTTTGCAGCTCACACCCAACAAATTCCAAGAATCTTGTCTGCGAAACTCAATCAACTATGTTCGTTCTCCGCCATGTTACCTGCAATCTAACGGACAAGCTCAAAGTCTCGTTGACACATTTAAACCAGCCATGCTCAAAACACGAGGGGGGAACACATATAATATCGTACAACGATTTCTACTTGTGTACCGGATGACTCCACATGAATTACTACCAAACTTCAAATCCCCTACTGAGATGCATATGGGATGAGAACCACGATGAAACCCAAGAGATTGGCCAAGTAAACCCCTCATAGTCAGACTGCTTGAATTCCTCACGAAGTTGGTGCGAAAGTGTCTGGGTTTGACTACAGACACGGATGTGATAGGTGGATAGAGGTTGAAGTCACAAAGAAACATTGGAAAGTCATGTATGATATCTGGACCAGGCACCATAATAAGCCAAGGCCAAGGAAAGCTAAAGAAAAAGGTGAGATTACGAAATGGCTTCAACTCGATCTGCTGTTGATTACCTTTCAACTTTCGCCAATACCTGCACCAGAGACTACTTAGTCGTCTACTCAAGCAGAACATCCTTCGTATTCAGGGTTGTTACCTCGAAGGTAGTCGAAAAACAAACGGAGACAACCAAGGAAATTTCAAGTAAGACCTCGGTTGTGCCACTATTAAAGTTTTCAAAGGGAGGTTTTAGGATGCTCATCTGACCGTTTTGTGTTCTGGTATATTGGGGATTTGGGAGACGGAATTTGTGGTATTACTAGAATATATGAGGGTTGCCAATCGGTAAAGTTTCGATTAGCCACATCGCGGACCACAATACGAAGGCCTACCGAAATCGTGCCAGAAAAGAGGAGCGAAGTTACAGAAAACAGTGGAGCCAAAAGTGGCAAAAACACAAATGAAAAGTTTGCGCGTATTAAGTATTAACAAACAAAAAGGTTCATTAAAGCAATCACTGGTACAATCGGTCATAATAATGAATGATTCTATTTAACCAATCGTGTTTCCTCCGCAAAAGTGCAGTTACTACACGTTGCAACTAACTGGTCTGTGACCTGAGGAGTCGTTGGCTGCTGGTATTCGAAAATCCTTCTGCCCAGAGACAAACACAGCCAATGAAGTCACAGAACATAAAAATTAGTGAAATCAAGTGACCACCATGCCGTCCATTGTACATTGCCAAACGCCTGGAACTGTACTGAAAGAAGAAGAAGCGAGAGCAATTAAATTCAGCGGTTTATACTAGCTCGTTAAAAAGATATTGGATATTGAAATTGTTTAAACGCTTTTTAACTGCAATCTGCGCTGTGATCAAGGTTAACCTGGGCGTGACTTGCTGAGACGTGCTTCAGCTTGTTTAATCGTGTATCTGTATATTAGACTGGGATTATTACCTTGTAGAATCTCCCAAAATGGATGTTGATAAAGAGCGCATGGAGAAGCTGGAGAAATTCAAGGGGATGAGTGACCAGGTACGCATCGGTGGCAAAGGAACGGCCCGCCGAAAGAAAAAAGTAGTTCACAAGAATGCTGCCGCTGATGACAAGAAACTTCAAAGCTCACTGAAAAAACTAAATCTCAATAATATTCCTACTATAGAGGAGGTATTATGCTACTAATGACTGTTCAATGTTAGGTCAATATGTATAAACCGGATGGGACTATGATTCACTTCAAGAATCCGAAAGTTCAGGTAGCCCCACAAGCCAATGTGTTCGCAGTAACTGGACAAGCTGAATATAAAAGTATTTCTCGTGTTTTGCTTATGAATTTTCAGCACTAAATGATTTGTTCCCAAATATGCTTAATCAATGGGAAACAGCAAAGTTGCGATTGGCTAAAATGAATGGTTAGTACACTTTTTGTTTCAGAATATTTTGGTACGTTTATAATATTTCACTGTATTTTGTCCAGAATCTCAGACTAACCATATTTGTAGTACAACAGGATTACGGTCAGTCAGTCGATAGCGTAAAGCAGCTGACCGAGGGTAATAGTCCATGTCTGCTAGCGTTTCCGTTCAGGGGATTATTATTACCAAGCCTACTGTTACCAAAGACATTGAAAACCACAATTATTAGGGTATAGACAAATAGCTCAAAGCAGTCTTGTCAGGCTACATCGGAATTGGTTAAAGTTTACTGTCAACTGAATGATATCACATCAAGAGCATTCTAAAAACAATAGCAACCGACTAGTTTTTATTTCCGATGTATGGTTGCCCTATCCTAGATTCTGTATTCAAATCTTAGTGGTAACAAATCGGGTATGCAAAATTCTTTTTGAGAGGTTGTATCAGTCATAAAACCGTGTTTGCACAGAATTTGTGTATGCGTTGCTCACCCCGATTCAGCTACCAACCCTTATTGCTACTGACCGTTTTGCCTGTACCCCTGGGTTGTTTTTGCAAATAGCAATTCATCGACTTATTATCTTGCGGTACACGGTATTCTAATATGGATCTGTTAAGTTGCAATGTCCATTGATGTTAGTAAGCCTTAGATTTATGCCTGCACTTGTTGAGAGATGTGAGCTTTGGATTTTTGTTCAATTCTATCCTATGCTCCTTAAACTAAATGACTATGGTACATAAATGAGTTATTTTAATTTCTTTACGCGACAAAAAATTGGTTTTATCTGTCTAGTTCTTCATGTTCAGTATGCACCACTCTTCCACGTTGTACAGTATATGTTGGGTTCATGTTATTGTGATTCAATATACTAAAGTTCTTGACGTATGGTTAGTTAACTTGTGAATAGTGAATAACTGAAATAGACATATGTTAAAGATCGGATAGAAATAACGACACCAGCCGTTTACAGTTGTGTAGACCATAAAATAAAAATAGTTGAGGTTGATTATCTTATTGTTCTTAACAGTCTGCAGGACTCATGAATAATTCACAGGGCTGCATAAGTGTAAATCCTATACCAATCCCGGATATCTTTGACTTCAGAAGTACAGCGAGATGTTGCGAATTATTTTGACAATCGACTCTTAGGTTAGAGTTTTGTGTAACGTTATAAATGTAAGTTTGTTTTGAGACTTACTTCCTAATTGGTAGTATATTTTCTGTACAAGTGCTTACACTGTTAGTTTAACCTATTTTAGAACTCTTAGGTATAGAACCCGTTTGTTACATATCACTATTTATTTATAAGTCTCCCATTGATTATTCACAGCGGTTGATGAATTCTGTATTTCCCTAATGTTAACTTTGTAGAAAATTCAAAAACATCAGATTCAAAGGTAGATGATGGAGATGATGATGTACCAGAGCTTGTTGAAGATTTTGATGAGAAAAGTCGTTTGGAATAATTGACAAATGTATTTTGAGTGAACTATGTATGACTCAGTCACTACTTCACAATAAAAGTCACTCAATACACCAAGTGTAATGTACAATGTTTGGTTTTTTAATTATTTCCCACCGCTTACATCCTCAAATTTCTTATACTAGTTGCGCATTGTCAAACTGTCCTGGTAATATTCATTTTTTGACAAAAGCTCTTATAAAACAAATAAACAATTCAGTTATGTTTCGTCTAGAATAAATTTGTATAGCAAACTTCATTAAATGGAATTTTGAATGCAATTCGTCTTGTCGATTATTTTTTAACCGGACAACCAGTGCTTTTTTTTTATTAAAAATTTATAACAAACTTTTTTTAAACACTGCATTTAAAAAACAGTACGTTTACAAATTATGCAAGAATTAATATTACTGTAAAACACCATCACTAAAGTGTTTGTTGTGTTTACTAGAGGTAACTGTTTACTTCTCCAATAGAATGCACAATTTCTTTTGTGTATAGATCGTTCATGCTCATGCTCGGCTTATGAACATTTCGATTTCGCAATCTTTAACTACTAAGTTAATGTGTAATTATCGAAAGGATCATTAGCGGACGTGTCTGTTCTTTTCCGAAAATCGATACAACTCAATGATCATATGCATATCATGTTACTCCGTCATTCAGGTCATATCGAATGATGCATAATGTCATTTCTTAATTTAAATGTTTTCTGATGATTAATGTAGTTTATCTGTTTAGCACAGCTTAATGTTGTCTGTTTTGAACTACAGTTTGTGTGTTTGGCCTGATGATAACTCCACGCATGCAGCTTATTAGTTGACGAGTTAAGTGTACCGGTAATTGACTCCCAATAATTTTTTTGCTGTCAAAGTTCTTTTTACATCAAAGTTTGGTTGTTTGTTGAGAATCTGCACTACAATGGCCATAGCTAGGTTGAGTTTTTGTACAGTTTTCGTATTTCTTCATACGAATACTGTCATATGTACGTGCAAAATAATCAGCATCTACCGATATGATGTCATCAACTACCGTCTCTTATTGTAATGTTTTTGGTAAATCCTTAGTTCCTGCTACCCCCCAGCCAGCTATAATCGTGTATTTGGCGGTAACCAGCTCTAAGATGAGTCTCCTCTTGTCGCCGATGTATTGCAATTGACACAGTCATCATGAGTGCTTACCATGCTTTAGTACTCATTGATTAAAGCTGAAAATTTAAGCGGTTGAGTTTCAACTTAGCCAACTATGTGTAGTACGGTCACTAGGGAAACTGGAGTTACTGTTTGGGACCCTTACTGATGCAAATCCCTATAACGGAATAAAAGGCCTTTCGATGCGCCTCGGTTTTCAATGTTTGCCATTATATTGATGAGTACTGCGTACGTATTTTTAATTAGCGTGGCTTCGATATTGGTAATACGGCAAACAGATTCCTGTGGTCTCATACTACTATATTTACCAGTCTACTCAAATTTTATAGATTTGAAAATAAGAAGCGGTCGTGGACGTGAATTAAAGATCAAATGCATCCATTGTATCACGTCAATCTTTAGAATT